CCCTTACCAGGCCTCTCACACCCTCCTTGCCACTAATTTTGGGTCACTTGTTGCTCCCTTGTCCTGGGTTGGTCAACCCCACTCCTTACCCCTGCCTCCCGCTCTCCTATGTCCCCCTCCCCCCCTACCATCGGTCCCCTTGTTTTCTCTTCCAGACTGTTCATCCAGTCTATCTTATCTAGATAGACTTGCAGAGATAGTAAAATGCACCAAAAAACAAGGCATAGCAAGACAAAGTGACAAAAGAGAATACAACGATGACAACAAAAAAGAAAACCAATGACCCATAAAAGAATAAATTAATTTAGAAAAAAGAAAAAGAAAAAAATTAAACAATTTCAAAAAGAAAGAAAAACCTGTAAACAGATCAAGGTCTGATTTTTGACCTCTAGGCATGTCCTCCAGTCAAGTCCGATGAGGTGCCATGCCCTGGACCCCAAGTCTATCCTTTGCACTCCCTCGGGAGGTCCCTGCTCTGCTCCCACCCCTCCCACCACCCCCATTGCTCTGCTGCACCCCCTGAGTGTTTTGCCTCGGTGTTGCGGGGTCAGTCCAGGCTAATCCTGACACTGGGTCTCCAGTGTTGTCCCCAGTGGGGCCTTGGGTCAGCAAGGGCCGTCGTGTCTCATAGTGGGATCAGCCATATGGTCCACTCTGTGCATTGGCTGTTCAGAGCAGGGATATTATCCTCCAGGCCTGGTGAGCCAGGATGTGCTCCACTCTCTTCCTCCCCCTTCATTTGCTCACATGTGCTCTGATCAGACATGTCCCTCTCCCCTAGCTGCAGCTTCAGTGCCGTCCTCTAAAGTAAATTCTTCTGGGGGGAGGGGTGGAGAAACTGCCATTTTGAAATTCAAAAACATCTGTATTACGTTGTCACTGGAACCTAATGCTGCCTTAACCCCAAACCCATAGTTCCCAAGGCTGTCTTTCTCCTGAGAAACGGCCTTTGGGGTTAGCAGCCAAGTGCACACCCATTGCACCTGTAGGACTCCCTAGTTGCCTCCACGGAGCCTCGGTGGCATAGTGGTTATGATTGGGCTGCTAACTGAAAGGTCAGCAGTTCAAAACCGCCAGTTTCCCTGAGGAAGAAAGATGGGACTTTCGACTCCTGTGAAAAATGACCAGCTGAGGAACTCAGAGGGGGCGGTTCCACCTTGTCCTCGAGGTAGGTATGAGTCAGGGGTTTGGCTTTTAGTTGCCCTCGAGGGGTTCTGGAGGTGTCCTGAGCCCTTGGCCTGCTAACAGAAAAGCCATCAGTGGGCCCCCGCACCGGTCCCTCAGGGAATGCCGAGGCTGTCTGCTCCCGCGAGGAAACACGAGGCAAACTGAGGCTGTCCTGCAGAGTTGCTGTGAGTTGGAATCAGAGTGTGGCAGTGGCTTGGATGCTCTCCATCCATAGGTGCAGCTGTCAACCCAGGTGGTCACTGCTCTGCTGGGAACTCGCTCAAGGGCTGTGGGCAAGAACACAGGCAAGCGAGGGAGGCCCTGCAGCCTGGGTGGACGCGCCTGCGCTGCTGCTGGAAGGGAAAGTATTCCATGGAAACGAGGGAAACACTCTGAGAGCCAAGTGGTGAAACTGTACCCCAGCATGGCTCCAGGGTGGTCTCAACGGAAAATCACTCCAAGGGGGGACAAAACTGGGCATTAAAGACTTCTTTGGAGCCCTGGTGACGTAGTGGTTATGCGTTAGGGTGCGATCCACAAGGTCTGCAGTTTGAAAGCACCTGCCCTTCTGAGGGAGAAAGGCTGGGCTTTCTACTCCCATAAGGAGTTAGTCTGGGGCTTTCTACTCCCATAAGGAGTCACAGTCTCGGAAACTCACAGACGCAGCTCTAGCCTGTCCTGGCTGGGGCACTGTGAGTTGACATCCACTCGATGGCAGTGAGTTTTCGTCGGTTGGTTGGTTTGTGCACTAAGCCATGTTCTGGAGGTGGCCGGTGGGCACACCGCTGTCTTAAAGAAGGTCTCAGCTGGGCAGCCCACCCACCTGTGCCCTGCCTGGCTCTCTCCTGTCTCAGAGGGGGCACTGGACCAGGAACGCTGGGCGGAGCAGTACCCAACCTGTGGTGGGAAGAGGCAGTCGCCTATCAACTTGCAGAAGAAACTGATAGAGTACAACCCCACCCTGAAGGGGCTGAACCTGGTGGGCTACGAGGCCCAGAACCTGAAATTCTCTATGATCAACAATGGCCACACAGGTAAGGGCTGGGCAAGAGTTTCCCGGGTCTGGCAGCCCCATGCTGACAAATGTCGATGGTCAGAGGGGAGGGAGCTGATGGTCACCTGGCAGAGCTGCCATGTCCTGCCAGGAGCCCCAGGCCTCACACAGGAGGGCTGACAGCAGCTGTGGGACCCCTTTAAAAATAAATCACAGAATACATTTTCATAGGCCCCCCAAAACTGAAAGGCACCCCGGGTCCCTACGGCTCGGTATCATTGATGAAAATATACATACCAGGACATACAACATCTCAAACATTTCCACATGTACAAGCCAGTAGCATGGACGACACTCTTCAAGTTGGGTAACTGTTCTCATCTTCTTTCTCCCTGACCCATCAGCATAAACTCCCTGTCCCCTAAGGGTCTTATCTAACCTTTCAAGTTGCTGTTGTCCATTTGAGTCCATATAGATAGTTCTGAAAACACCACGATGCTCAAGGCAGACCAAACCACAAAAACTCACTGCTGTCCAGTCCATTCTGACTCATAATGACCCTAAAAGGACAGGGTAGAACTGCCCCTGTGGGTTTCTGAGACTCTACCTCTTTATCGGAGCAGACAGCCTCCACTTTCTCCCAAGGAGCAGCTGGTGGTTTTGAACTTCAACCTTGCAGGTCACAGCCCAACTTTTAACCACCACGGTCCTCAAGACAAAGTCTTTACTAATGAAGCACAATGATTGCTTGATTAGGTGCCCTGGCGGTGCAGCTGGTTCCCAGTTGGGCAGCCAATTACCAAGCCAGCTGTTTAAACCCACCTGCGACTGTGCTGGAGAAAGCTGAGGTTGTCTGCCCCCGTAAAGACGGACAGTCTGTAAACCCTAAAGAGTAGTTCTCGTCTGTCCCATAGGGTCCCTGTGAGTCAAATCAACTTGATGGCAGTGGGTGGGTAGGGGCATCCAGCCAGACTTCAGAGGCTATTTTTGGTTTAAAGATGATTTTAAAAAGGCAAAAGTTTTAGGTGTTCCTCCAACCTCAATGGCTCCAGAAAGTCTGGATTCATAAGAATTTGAAATTCTGTTCTTCATTCTCCCTCTTTTGATCAAGATTCTTTTATAAAATTTTAGATCATAATGGTAGTTGGGGCACATTGCTCTCTTAACGCACACTACCTGCCTTTCCTTAAAGGGACAAGAGTGGGGACAAGCTCCTTAAGAGTGGGGACAATCTCCCGTCCTTTGTCTCATAATCCCTGGCCCAGAGCCTGTCGTAGAGTAGATGCTTAGAAAATGTCCGTTACATTTGAAAGGAAAAAAAACCCTGCACATAAGAGGATAAATCTCCAAATCACCTACCATCTGGCCAGAGGGCTCTGAACAGATTTTGATATTTGAAAGCTACAAGGGAAGCCAGAGGGCCCTTAAAAAAACAAACAAAATAAAAATGTTTATTTTAGAATAGTTTTTGACTTAGAGACAGGTTGAAAATATAGTACAGGGTTCCCATATTAGGACATCCTCTAATAACAATACTTTATAGCCACTGTTTAATTACTATTAAACTCAGGTTAACATAGATACAAGACTATTGACTAGTCCATAAAGCATTTGTATTTCATCACTTTCCCCACTTATGGCTCTTTTCTGGATTGAATCTAGGATTGCACATTGTATTTCATTGTCATATTTCCCAAGTGCACCAATCTGTGCTAGTTCCCCAGTATTTCCTTGACTTTTGTGACCTAACACTTGGTTGCTTGTATCTTGAGCATACAAAAATGCACAGACCACATGGTTTACCTGGTCTGAGACGGTATTGTCTAAGTTGATTATCCATGACGGGGGGAGCAGTGTTCAAGTAAGTTTCAGAATCCTTAAGGGAATTCAGCAAGTTGATATTTGCGGACTAATAGCAAAGATAAACTGATAAGCTCGATATTGCTGCCTGCAAGACCCTGCAGATGTCAAGCTGGGAGAACGATCCATTTCCCCCCAATACGAGAGTTTATTGTTGTGATCCACCTATTACCATTCACAGTAAATGTGGATCAATCCAAAACCAAGAGTCTGAGTGTCCCCTGCCTTGCTGTAGAGTTCAGTTTCTTCTCTGGCAGACAAAGAAGTGGGGAAAATCCTGGACTGTGTGGAGACACACATTTCTCGACCCAGCTCTGCCCTGACTGATGACTGGGGGAAGTCTTCCCATCTTCCCGGGATAACTTCCTTAATCCTACACTTTGCACACATCCCAAAATTGGCTAGGGACAGAGAGTAGAGTTCTGAATGTCATAGCTATTGACCTTATTTTTCAAGACCAACAGGATGGGACTTGTTGTTCCATGGTCCTGCCACTGACTTTCTGATCGGGGGCAGGAAGGTGTATACCCAGGTAGACCAATTCATACCTAGCTCAATGATCACCCCATGCCCTGATCTCACCATGCTGAGTGCCAGCTGCCTCCATCCCATTGGTACCCTGATCATAGCATTTTTAACCAGGCTATAGTATTGACTTGTCCTGAGAGCATACAGGGGGCAGGTAACCGAATTCTATACCCCATTCTCACCTTACATAATTCCCACTCCTTCTTTCCAGTGCAGATTTCCCTGCCCCAGACCATGCACATGACAACCGCTGATGGCACAGTGTACATGGCTCAACAGATGCACTTCCACTGGGGCGGTGGGTCTTCGGAGATGAGAGGCTCTGAGCATACCATTGATAAGAAAAGATATATGATTGAGGTAACATGAGGACCCCAACTGCTTCTTCTCTCTTTCAGACTCTCAAACCACTTCCCTTATTAAAACATTCCAAAAGGCGTTTTGTCATAATAGACAAGTCACCCTGAGATCATGTTTAGATTTCTTTTATTCAACAACTATTGGTAATGTGTGTTCTGTGTGGGGGGTAAAAGCAGGGCCCCTCATCCCCAATGGAATTCACAACATGGCAGCTTCTCACGGCCACAGGGTGGGGCCATTTCTGTGGTTTCAGCTGGATTTCCATGTGTTGGATTTTCTGGGTACCCTCTCTTGTTTGAATTCTGCCTTAGGAGGACTGTGGGTCTGCAGTGGCCTCCTGGATCTGGGGTGTTTAGGGGACAAGGATCTCAGGATAAAGCTGCCAGAGGTGGTGGTCATTAAGGGCTTGCTTATTTTAAGAGAGGTTACCATCTTCCTAAGATCCCACTCAGGCGTGTTCCATTATTTGGGAATTGCTGGGTGGATGCAGTTGATAGACCAGATGAAGGGAGCTGGAGGAAGTTGTTTGTGTGGGGCAGTCTGGGGTGTTAGAATAGTCCTTCCTTTCTCTCCTTTTGTGAAGTCTATATTAACTATTATTTATGTATTCTTTCTTGACCCCATCCCCTAGGCTCATGTTGTTCACTATAACTCTAATTACAAGAACTACGATGTAGCCAAAGATCATCCCGATGGGTTGGCTGTACTAGCATTTTTCTTCGTGGAGGTAGGCTGAAACTGTGTGTGTGTGTGTGTGTGTGCCTTTGGAGTTATCAGTTGCTGTGTGAACATGGCTTTATGACTAAAGGTCTTCCTTCCTAACCCTCATCATTCTTCTTGGTCATCCTGACCTGATGGAAGACTGAGCAGTGTTCACAGACTCGGGGCCCTTGGCTATCAGCCTCAGGGAGAAGCAGACTTACAAAGAGTTGGAATTACAAAAGGATTGACTGGATACACCTCGTCTGAAGGGCAAGGGGGAAGACCCATAGTTTGATCAGACAAAGGCTCCATGTCTGCATTTCTAAGAAAATATGGTGAAGGGATTTCTGTCCATGGTAGTAAGAACTCATTGGTGAGTTCAATCCTCCCCAAATAAGCTTCAAGTTAATAAAATTGTCAAAAAACAAACAAAAAGCCAACTCTTCTAACACTCAGGAAATTGACAAAAGGCAAACAACCAATTGAGCAGCTTTATTTTGTGGAAAAATGGCTCAAATTTTGAGTAAGAGCAACGGGAGTCTATGACCTTCTTGCCTGAGGCTGTTCCCATTCCTATCCCCAGCTTGGTCAGTAAGGTTGCTTTATCAGGGCAGGGTGGATCACAAGACTAGCAGCTTAATTGCCAGAAAAGAATTATTTGATTTGGGGTAGAAGTTGGGACCCCACACCCCCAAGGTATTGTCAGTAAAAATATTCCAGCAAACAGACTTATAAAAGGCAGAAAATGAACAGGGAAAACTTGTAGCACTACACATCAGAGACTGTGAATCCAGATAGAGTGAGTAGCAGACCAGATAGAAATTTCATGGAGAGATCCTGGAACTGAGAGAACTTTGTAATTTTTACAAGAGGGCTGGTGAAAAGTAAAACTTCAGGGTGACTTGAGAACTGTCTGAACTTTGAATAGGTTTTTCATGCCACACAGATCCCCAGCAAAGAGTGGAGGTAGTATAGGCTTGAGGGGATTCAGCACAACATCTGGCTCACCATGAGGTCGCTATGCTGACTCTAGTGACCACTATGGTGACAGTAATAGAGTCTTAACAAAGATATATGGAATCTTACTAGAGGAACAAACCATAAAAATGAACCAAATGGGAATTTTTAGAGTTGAAAAGTACAATAAAGCGATGAAAAAGTACCTAGATGATCCACGAGCAGATTTGTGAGTGAAGAAGAATCAGTGCATTTAAAGAAACCCAAAGACAAAGTGAGATCTTAAATGTTAATGAATGACTTCCCACCAGAAGCAAGTCATCAGAGAGCAACAGAATAACACAAGCAAATTGCTGGAGAAAATACTTGTCAACCAAGAATTCTATACTCAGCTAAACTATCCTTCAAAAAAAGATGAAAGCCAACTAAAAGCATTTCCGGATTAAAAAGAAAACCAACAGATAATGATTGCTAGCAGATCTGCATTATAAGAAATACTAAAAGAAGTCCTTCTGGCTGAAAGGAACTTACACCAGACAGTAACTCAAGTCTACAGAATGAAATGAAAAGTGTTGGAAATCATAAATATGTGGGTAAATCTATATTTTTAAATCTAATATTTTTCTTTTCTTAAACATGATTTCTTAAAAATAATAATACATTGTTGAGCTATTAAAATATGTAAGTGTAGCATATATGACAAAAATGGAAGAATGGAAAGACAGAAATTGAGCCATAATAAAGTTACCATATTTTACTAGAAATAAGCTAGTATTTAACTGATGTAGATTAAGTTAAACACAATTGTATATTATAATCACTAGAGTACCACTGGAAAATAATTTAAAATCAAATGGTAGACTAAAAGTACTTGTTAAATAAAAAAGGAAGGCAGAAAAACTACAACAGAAAGGTTATAAAACAGAAAACACACAGCAAAATGACACAGAAAACAGCAAGAAGGCTTTCATTTATGCATAGTGGAAAATAACTAGAACCTGAGATCCATACCACTGACTGAAAAAAACATTTGAAAATATACCTTTTCACCAAAAGCAAGCTTCTGTCTTTCTAAAAAATAAATATTCAAGCCAAAAAAAAAATTACAGAATAATATGGTAGTTGGTGGCACTAGGGCAGTTTTGCCTTGCCTGTCTGTCTTTTCCCCATACAAAAGTCCCAAGAATGAAAGAGTGCTCATGAACTTCAGCTTCCTTCATCACAACGAACCTGACTGTGACTGACACAATCTCAAACAAGCTCGTTGGAGATTTAAAAAAAAGTTTTTACCTAACTCAGTCAATGTGGTCAACCAATACCTTCAACCACGCTTCCTCAGCTAGACATGTTAAAAGCCGGCGTCTGGGAAAGCCAATTTTTCTTTCTTTCTTTTGCTCTGGTCCTGCAGCAGGTCAGAGATCCGGGGCGCACAGGCTGCCCAGGAGTGCGCCCTCAGGGTCCACTTGGGGCCTACTGGGATCAGGGGGTGGGCACGTGCCCTTGGGATCTTGCTCTCTTGACCTCTTGGTCCTGGGGATTCCCCAGTTCTGCACGTGTGGGTGTGTTTTTCCACGTGGTTTTTCGTGCCCAGTTGTGAACCCCAATGTGTTTTCTGCACGACTTGGCTCTCGCTTTCCAGAAATAGCATGTACTCTTTTGAGACTGTAAAACCTGAGACTTTTCTGTTCCTTCATCAAAACTCACTTGGATTACCAAATAATAATAATAATAATAATTTTTAGCAGTGACTTTTGACCATTCTTAGAGAGCATCACCCAAACCCCAAACACTGTCAATTCTGACACATATTGACCCTCTAGGATAGAGAAGATCTACCCCTTTTGAGATTTTGAGACTGTAAATCTTTACAGGACAGCCTTATCATTCACTTCTGGAGAGATTAGTGGGCATTGGGTGGCTAACATCCAGATCAGCAGTTTAAACCCATCAGCTGTTCCACAGAGAAAGATGAGGCTACCTGTTCCCGTAGAAATGTACCGACTCTGAAATTCTATATAATGTAACTATAAGTTGGGATCAGCCAAATGGCAGTGGAGGGGCTCACCAGTCACTGAAAATCTTCTTTCCCTAGAATTTTTGGTGAAAGCCTCTCTTGAACAGACTTAGGAGCCAAATAATATCTAGGTGGTCTCCCTGCAACATAACTGACTCATGTGCTGCCTCCTCCTTCCTTTCCAGGCTCTCCCTAGCCAGTTAGAAAACAAAGCTCCTAGGCTGAGCCAGGGGTCTCTTCTCCCTGTATGTGAACTGCTCTGCATTTTTCTTCCAGTCCCATGATGATGCTGAAAACCCTCATTACACTGAGTTCTTGTCCCACTTGAAGAACATAAGGTACCCAGGTAAGGGAAGTCCGGATGTCTGCAAGAGAGAATGAGCAGGAGGCCTGGGAGGGAAAGGGTTAAGGTAGGGGGTTGGGGAGGAGAAAAGTAAAGCTGATGACCTCCCAGGGGAGTCACCCATCTCTGCACAAGGTCTCTTGTTTATAAACTCTACCTATAGATGCCCATGATTGGAACTTCTGAATGGCTAGAGCTCTGTTCTCCACCCAAATTGCCATCCAGGTGTCTCTAACTCATGGCAACCCTACATGTTTTCCGAACAGGGTTTTCAATGGCTGATTTTTCCAGAAGTAGATCACCAGGCCTTTACGCTGCAGGCGCCACTGGGTAGACTCCCACCTCCAAGCTTTCAGTTAGCAGCCTCCCTCCTCTTCTGTTACAATGGATGAAAAATGTCTGCTCTTGTCAAACACCACCTCTTCCTTCCATGTCAACACGGGACGGAACTAGTCTCATAGTCTCCAAGCCTTTCCTCCGGCTCTTATCCCCACTGTCTTCTGCATCACTCATTAGCACATTTTATTCTGTCATCCACCCCCAAGCACATCAATCCAATTCCCCAATCTCAAATTATAAATAAAACTATCTCAACCCTCACCAAACTCCTGGTGTTCACCACACGCTTCTCCTCTGGAAAGGATGTGTGCTTCCTCACCCACCCCATGCCACCCTGACCTGGCCCTAATCCATTGAGCCTGCGAGGTTAGCCTATTAGCCACGCACGACAAGCTCCATCACATCACGCACCTCAGCTTTCATCCTGGCCACACCCCTCTAACTCTGTTTTCTAGCCCCCCGCCCCAGCTCTGATTGTTGCCTGCTGCCACAGTTCTGCCCTTGCTTGGCCACCTTATTCAATCCCATGGTTTAAAAATCCCTGTAATAACAATACAGTTGGGAAATCTTGCCTACTCGTGGTATTATTACACAGCCTTCAGAGACCTGGTTAAAGAAGTCTATAGATGTATATATATGTGTGTGTGTGTGTGTGTGTAGATGTATATATGTGTGTGTGTATATATATAAAACGACACCTTCTTCTTCGCCATTGAGAAGTGCAAATGTGCTCAAAGAAGATGCAGCAAAATCCAACTCAATGTCATGTTGCTTTGCGCTCTTGTGATCTCAGGGGTAAACACCATGCGCACGAATAAAGAGCTCTCAGTCTACAGGGAATGCCTGGGCTCCCGAAACCCTGCACCAGGCACTCATCCAACACCCTGTGGAAGTACTTTCTCCCGATCGCCCTCTGGTGGCCAACCTCGGGGGGACATGGCAGGAAGGACTGGCTTGGAACTGACTCTTGTTTTTCTCTCTCTAACCACCCAGTTCTAAATCGCCTCAAACTGAGAATTCCTGGCACCCATCCTAAAGCTCCATTATCCATTTATCCCATTGATCATAAGAGATCTTTTTCTTTTACGAGGATGACGGTGGTGATAGTTATATTTATGACTGTTTCCCGGTCACAATTGTGAATATGATTCCCTTTTGCCCTCCCAGCAATCCTATTCATTCACACCTTTTAACAGACCAGAAAACAGCCTTGCCGGAGATAAGCCTCACCAAGGTCATTCAACCAGGGGGAAGAATCTGAACAGTTCTGTCCTCAAAGTCTTTCCTCTTAATCCCTTCTGGGCAGCAGCACACTAGGGAAATGTTTCCCAATGATCAATTGTTTGGATGTACTGATTAAATCAGGAGATTCACACATGGTGGAATCTGAACTGAGCTTCCTGGAGGAGAGGCAGCCATGACTTCTAATATTCCTTTTCCTCCTCCCCTTTGGTCAGGACAGAGCACAACTCTGAGTGGTTTTGATATTAAGGACATGCTGCCCAGAAATCTCCAAGACTACTATACCTACCATGGCTCACTCACCACGCCTCCTTGTACCGAGAATGTCCTCTGGTTTCTGCTGGCAGAGCCTGTCAAGCTCCCCAAGAAACAGGTAACTCATGGCACTGGTTTGCCGAAGTCTCTCCTTGGAACCATCTGGTTAATAAGATGCTCCCTGAAATCTCACCTGGCATCCACACCCAGGACTCCTCCAACATTTGCCCACCAAAGAGATACTTGTGCTTTGCCTATATTACCATGGGATGGTCTCATTAGTCATAGGCATAGATGGGAAAACAGGCATTGGGGAATCCTTGCAACCTAAGAGCAGATGCAGGCTGCACGAGGGGAGCCCGATCCAAGTCATCCTGCTACATGAAGTCAAAGAACTACATGGTGAAGGAAAGTATGTATTCAGTGCTGCTGTTGCCAGATATCATTCTAGACCCTTAGTGTGCCCAAATCCCTGTCCTCACGGGGCTTATATTTTAGCTTCTTAAGTGGCTTGATGGAGGCAGGACAACGTCACACTCGGTTCTTTGCCATGTGGCCCTTTGAGGAGAGGAGTTGTGGCCCTTGCCTTGTTCGCTGGCACAGAACGTAAAGGGACAAAAGTGACTGAGGTTTCAAGGCAAAAGGTGTCACCTCCCTTCTGGGTAATATTCTTCAGAAACAAATATTTGTTCTCCGTGTCTAAGTCTTCATTTTCTGACTCCAGAAAGATGTAGAAAAGGCCCCTACACAAAGATACCCCCACACAAAAATGTTGTCAGTTTCCTTGAAAGTAGGAAATTGTTTTAATACAAAAAGATAAAGAATCAAATACCCATTTATAAACTATCAAGGGCTCATGCGGGAGGGGGGAGTGGGGAGGGAGGGGAAAAATGAGGACCTAATGTCGGGGGTTTAAATGGAGAGAAAATGTTTTGAGAAATGATGTACAAATGTGCTTTACACAATTGATGTGTGTATGGATTGGGATAACAGTTGTATGAGCCCCTAATAAAATGTTAAAAAAGAAAAAAAAGAAAAAAAAAGAAAGTTAAGAAAATAGTAATGGCAACATATGTACAAATATGCTTGATACAATTGATGTATGGATTGTTAAAGGAGTTATAAGAGCTCCCAATAAAATTATCTTTTAATTAAAAAAAAAAAAAGATAAAGAATCTCAAATTAGGTTCTCTCTCTCTCTCTCTCTCTCTCTCTCTCTCTCTCTCTCTCTCTCTCTCACACACACACACACACACACACACACACAGAGTAATATTGACTGAGTACTCTGAGGCAACATCTCATTTTTTACCCTGGTAGAAAAATTTGGAGCAGTGGGTATTTTTTTTTCAGAAAGACAATCATAAAGAAAAAAAAGACAATCAGATAAAACCACAATGAATGAAAATAAATATATATCAAAGATCTAACAAATGTAAATATACAGATATCAAGAATGGCAATAGTAGGATAAAATAAACTTCAGAACAAAAATTTTCTACCAAGAAGTTAGAACAATCAAGTATATTTACATACTAAGAAATTTGTCAAATAAGGAAACAGTAAAAATAGCTAAGAATGTAAATGATTTGAAGAACACAACTAACAAATTTGATTTAATAAACACATCAAGAATTTCATACCTCAAAGCACACATCTATTCTTTATAAATAGCCATGCAATGGGTAAAAATTTAGCCAACTGCTATTATATCAGAAAATTGCAATCAATTCTCAAAACATAGAAATCCTAAAAAGAAATCCTATTAGTCACACTCTCATTATAATGCAGAACAACTGGAAGTCAACACCAAATGTGTAATAATAGCAACAACAACCTATTTTCCTAAATGGCTCTTGCATGAAAACGGAGCTGGAAGTTGAAATTAAGAACAACATAGTGAGTGTGGCAGACTAGGTTTCCAGTTAAATGTTATGTTGTACCATCGTTTTTAGGATATATTTGAACAAATGCATCAGTAAGCTTATAAATTATTAAAGAATATTCAGAGATCAAAACCTACATGAAAGTGGGAGCCCACAGAAACAAGCTGAGCACTTACGGCAGTTCTCACTAAAAGAAATTCACCGAATGTTGGTTGGTTTTCATAGACTTGTAGCCTTGCAACCCTGGTGTCAAAGCCCCAAGACCTGACAATTTCTCAGAAGAGCTGGAAGACACCACGCCATACATTCAGGAAGCCAGGGAGCAGGATAAATAAAAAGAAGCCCACACCTAAATAAATAAAATCACCAAACATCACAGACAAAGAGAAAACTTAAATATCAACCAGAGAGAAAAGACAGATTACCACAAAAGAACTACAATTAGACCGAGAGCCGATTTAATACAGCAATGATAAAATTCAGAAGGCAGTGGATTCACATTTTCAAAGGGCTGAGAGAAATGACGAGGTAGCCTAGCACCATCTTTGCTGGAAAAATACATCAAGAACGTTGACAAAATACAGACCCTTCAGAACAAAAATTAAGCTCACCAATTACAGTTCCATTCACTTCTTTTTCTCCTTTCTAGTACCGAACCAAATACTCACAGGAAAAAAATTAAAAGGGATTTCTTATAAAGACTTGGAAGAATGAGTGCAGGGATGGGTTGTGGAATAATACCTCTGGGCCTGAGCGCTTTGCATAACCGCTTATCGGGGTTTGCTAACTTTTAAATTACACAGTGCCTCTCCCTCTATAACCCACTTCATGTCGCCTGTAGATTTTGAAGTTAGAGAACTCCTTGCTTGATAACCAGAACAAGACCCTCCAGAACGCTTACCGCCTGACCCAGCCCTTGAACGACAGAGTGGTGCAAGCGAACTTCGAGCATTTTTCTTACACCCGCAGTGAGTGAGCTATATGAATGAACCTTCTGCATCTGTCGGCTTCTTGCCGTCTCCTCTTCTCCGGGTGATCAGTGTCTCTGGCAGCACAGGGTTTGGGAAATTTGAATCAGGTGTCGCTTGTCTGATTTGGCGACTGAATAAAACATGGCTGAGTCGACCTTATCAACATTTTTTGGGGGGGGGTGGGAGGGATGAAAGTGTCTAATGCAGCGGCAGGAGTGAAATCGTTAACCGTGGAACAAATCATGGAAGAGGTTGGAAAGTGACGGTTAACTTGGATAAACCAGAAACCACTCGATGGCGATGGCGCATCTGAGGCAGTGAGAGGTGAGAAAGCTAAAAGCTTGAATGGAAAATGTTGCGGGAGCCTGCGCTGAGCAGCTGAGCAGCCCCACGTGTTCAAAGCCAGCCGGGGCTGGTTGGAAAAATTCAAGGAGAGAACAGGCCGACAGTGTCTGAAGGCACTTGCGAGCACAAACAGAGATGAAGGCGATAAGTCTGTGACTGAATTTGATGTTTGTTGCTTTCATATTTAATGTATTTATTTACTGTATTGTGTTTTGATATTTAATGTACTGTGTTGATTGTGTTTGGAGGTTTTAGGTGGTATTTCCACAACCTTTGTGTTAAGGTTCTGAAAAATTGAATTGATAAGTATAATTTGGGGGCCTCAGAACCAATTATGTGTTTTCCATGATTTCTTATGGGGGAAATATGTTCAGCTTTCAAACTTTTCAGTGTTTGAACATGATTTTGAAACACATTGAGTTCGACAACTGAGGCATCACTGTTTACATCCTGTAATAAAATAGAATCCATCTCCAATCAATATTGACCACTTAATATTGCCCCTATTTATACATACTTTTCAAAAGTTTAAAACATACCTTCCCCAAAGACCCATGTCTCTCCTTCCTGGTTCAGTTATCATTTCCCCTAATCTCAGTTTGTTTTCCCAAAAGAAGACTAATAGAGGGGAGAGCCCACCAGTTGTAGTTAAAGTTTTCCCATACCATGTTACACCAAATATTAGCACCAACAATCCTCTCTTCTCAAGGGTCACCTGTCTGACACAAGTCCAATTGCCAGAAGCTAGAGAGCTTATACTGGTCTGTCTCTGTGTTCTAAGTTTTGCCATGATCACCTGTTTCCTCTAATTATAATTTTACACTATCCTTGCAATGAGGACCAATATGCCACACCTCAAATGAGCTTTCTAATAGGGGGTCCTCCAATTAGTCCTCAGAAAGGAACTCACATATCATAGGTACTCACCTACTAGACAAGACACTCCAGGTTCCAACTTGTATGGATATTCATTGTCTCCTTGTACCCTGATGTGCACTGTTTAAGATTACTCTTGGCAGACAGGAAGCGGGCTTCTTCCCCTTCCTCTATCTGCGACAACTAAGGACTCTGAGCTATGCCCTCTCTTTGCTGCTAACAGCAGAGAGAACTGGGCATCATTTTGCTCCAAGTCCACCCAGCAGTGACTGGCTCCAGCCGGTCCAGTGTGACCCTGTGATATTGCAGTTTGGCTGACTTCCATCCCAGAGAGGTTAATGCGATCTGTTATCGAGTAATTACCTGATAAACCAAGCCAGTTATAAGGATCAGACAACAGCAATGCAAACCTCTTCCATTTACTTATGAGAAAGCGCCTAGGATGAGGGCCACTGAACATCCTATGAGAAACCATCGTCTCTTAAGAACCATCTTCAAATGGCACCCCTTGGGCTCTGGAAGCCCACAAGCTCAAGTTCAGACACAGTGAAAATGCTTAGAGTTAAGCGTGGAAGGCATTCTACGGAATCAGAAACACTGTCTTTAAATACAGGGGTGGGAGTGGGATGTGCTGTCCTGCATTCTATTCTCTTCCACGTTGGGCCGCTTGCTACTAGTAACTCTTCTTTCTATGGATATATTCTAGATGCCATGGCCAGCCACCAACCAAAGCCGTTCTTTGTTGAACCCAATCACTGGGGAAAAGTTCATAAAGAGAAGAAACGTAAGAGAAAGAGCAAAGATTAATCAGCCTGAAATAGACGCTAGTCCAGGAAGTGAGCCCCCCGCCCCCTCTGCCTGGTTTCCAAGAAATCCTGCAGTCTGGATAATCACTCTCTCAGCCACCTGTTGACCTTCGGATTAAAACAGTGGACAATGTCATCGCTAAAAGGAAGTGAGATGCGTTAAATATATGCGAAGGACTGCAGTTAGACAACATCAATGGAAACGATCGGAAAGGAAACTTAATTGTCCTTCTACTGAATCATACATTTTAATCTGCCTCAATTAAAAACCAGCTTGACCCTCCCTTTAGAATTTAGATGTAATAAATTAATTTTGGAAATGTGTCATTTTGAAAATTCTCTTTTCCAGTCCTTTGTACTGCTTCATATAGTCCTTCCTTGACTTTTCCTGAAGTTAGAGCACTTAGTCCTCCTGAAATTAGAGGACTTCAGGTACTATCATTTTACATTTGTAGAATGTTCTGTGCGTTGCCCAAGGTGTCAAAGTCAGGGTTTGAATCCATGTCTTTCCTATTCAAATTCCCAGTTCGTTAAACTTCAGAAGCCTTCCTTCTCACGTATTCAGTAAGTGTTTGTCACACTCCTGTTAGTACAGGTGCTCAGTACTGGGAGGGAGGGTGTTTGTCACACTCCTGTTAGTACAGGTGCTCAGTACTGGGAGGG